TTAAGTGAAATTCTGTGTGATTTCATGAGAGTTGAAAATGAAAAAATTATATGACACCCCACCCTACCACTCCATACACAATGTAACCACACCTCAAAAACATCCTTTCACCAGTGTATTCTATTTGAATTCAGGAGAAATTTAAATAAACAAATTATATGACAACGAACTTAATTATAATTTCAACCTCTAGTTCAGCACTGATTAAATAAACTACCTCGTCTTTATGCCAACTTGAAGTTATTCAATGCCTACACCAGTGACTTCAAAATCTATGTTTCAATTCCAGGAATTTCACTTGCTATTAATTGTATGGGAGTGCCAGTCTTTCATGAATTTCTATTGTCATGTCAATTTCTTGTGATTACTCGGAAAATGAAGCTGTAACCACAGACCACAGTGCTGCAACTAAATCCTGGTATAAGCACCGGTTAGGCAGTCTTGAACTATGCATGTGAAGCCAGCTGAGAGGTATATCCAATCCTATAGATTTCTCATTGTTTGGTAACTATTTGCTGCAAATGCAACAAAAATCAATATAAAAATATTACCCACACAGCATTCTACAGGTTACTTGTAATATATATAGTTACATTGTTACATTTCATAATTAATAGAATAACAACATACACGTGTTCGATGTCTTCAATAAGCCCAAGTAGTCAAGGGTTATTCTATCGGTAAAACATCACCATTACAATTACCATTGATGACGAAGAACTTTGAAGTACATTTGTAGTACCGACACGTCATGACGCGCATTATTAGCGCCACCTATGGAGACAGAATTTACTGACTTGGGCTCATTGTAATGACGCCGAAAAACTTGATTTCTTTTATTATGATTGTTCAGACTTAAATTTTAACATCCTGTTTTCTGACTGACTGATCGATTGCTGGTTAGTAGTTGCACGAGGAAATTGACATAGAAGTGTTATCTCGCGACAACCTAATTCGACAAATCTTTGGCAGCCCTAAATTGGGCTTCGTCAAATTTAACATCCAGTTTTTCTGCCATCTTCATCAGTACACTGTTGTTTAGCTCCATCATCTGTGTCATTAGTTTCTGCCTCTCAACTACACTGAAATGAAATTAGATATATAATATGAACGATTTGAATGAATAATATGTATTTAACCAAATACATGCAAATAAATGCAAGATTTTCTAAATAACGGAAACACATTAAGCCAAATAATAATAAGGAAGGAGGAGTCTAATAAATTGTATAGAACTAGAAACAGTCCAGTAAATAAATAAATAAATAAATAAATAAATAAATAAATAAATAAATAAATAAATAAATAAATAAATAAATAAATAAATAAATAAATAAATAAATAAATAAATAAAATAAAGATGATAAAAAAGAAGACCATATGGATAATTTTTACTCGTGAAAGTTAGCTATTATACAGGTCAGGCGGGGAATTGGGTTGACATAAGATGTGTTAATAAGATGTGTAAAAGTACGATTGATTAATTGATTGACAATACACAAACATGCATAATGCGTTGGCGAATTGTGTCATAAAATTCACCCTGGGGTCACTTTAGGTCAAAGAAATGGGTGTTTTCTTTAAAACATGGCTCGTGATCACCATAACAAAACATACCTAGATCTAAATTCTTCTATGTTTTCTTGCAGACTTTCAGCGTTAACTCCTCCTGCTTCTTGCATGATTCTTTCCCTCTTCTCCAAGTCTACATTTCTTCTTGAAAAACATTTTTTAACCTGTAAATCAATGCGTTTTTTGAGACGTTGTTATGGAAGACTATTTCTAATTTTATTGGATTATAATAGAAAAAACTAAAAAACTCTGATTGCTGATTAGTCTCTACCAATAAAGTTCAAACAAGAAAAATACGCCTATTAACACTCAAATGCATGTTAAAGCGGGAGGATCGTCAGCTGCGCACGCGCGGGAATTGAGTCACAAGCGACGATAACAACACACGCTAAAAACGCAAAGGCTCATGGGTAGATGCTCGTTTGTAAACAATCACGCTATGGCCATCTGACGCATGCGCAGGTGACGACTCCCCCGCTTTAAGTTATACCAAATATAATACTGTCTATGATGCCTGCTTGTAAACAGTTTGAAGAAAACAATGACATATAATGTGTTCTTAACCTAGCCACCTTCTATCAGAAACATAACACCCATTATTGCCAGATGCTTACTGTGCATCGTAATATCAAGCGACATCACAGCGCCATCAATGGTCATACCTTGGAGGAACACGATGTGCTGTAGGGTTCATAAGTCAACTGCGGCGTGTATAATCTCCGTTGTAACCAGGTTGGCATGCTGTCTTCCATTTGCTCCAACATGTTTACCTATAAATATATTGAATTAATATCATCACCGTATATTCGCCATGCAGATTCTGAAAATAATCGCAGTATGTATGCAGCACGTGACAAGAAAACGAGTAGTGGACGGTGAAGCAGACGCCAGTTGCATGCCATTTGTTGATACAATTGTCTCCCTCAACGCCCATAAATTACGCCTTATTGTGGCGAAGCTTTTGATAGCGTAAATGACGCCGTCCAAATCTTCGATATCATGTTGATCTATACTCGTCCATAAGTTATGTTTTTGAGAGATTTTACTCTATCTAATGACGAACGCCGGGGCGAACAACCACACAACCAAACACATTGATCGAGGGGAACGACTTTGTCTTCAACCCTATACATCATTCTGACATCACAGGAACGTTCTACCAATAGAGAGCGCGATTTATAGGACTACTGTATTTGAGTGGATATCGATGACAAATTATCAGAATGTCTGGAATCCGTGGATAATATGCTTTGGCACGATGTCGTCCCTCAAATATTCAAGAATGCTCCTAAGAAGAGTTATTTTTATTGTTATTCCACATTTGGTCACGTGGCCCATTGTTCTGGTTGCACGTTTATTAATGAAAACATTAGTTACCTCCATTTCTATTTTCTCAAGCGTTGCTCTCTTTTGAACTTCGTCGATATCGCCCACAGCAACACCAAGCTGAAAAAACATGCAAAATACCGCGGACTTTAATTTTCATACACTTGCTAAATCGTGCTTATATTCCTGGCTGTGGCGGGGATTGTTAAAGTGTACTAGGATAAATGTTTAAAGCTGGAGGGTCGTCACCTGCGCACGCGCGGGAATTAAATCCCAAGCGACAATAACACACGCTAAAAACGCAAAAGCTCATGCTAGACGCTATGGCCATCTGATGCATGCCCAGGTGACGACTCCCCCGCTTTAAGTAGTACGAATGTAACGTAAATTGCAGCCGAGCCATGGCGAGCCCTAATTCACCAACGGCTATTACGCCCAAGCCATCGACTGGGACGCATCATTGGCGCAACATGACATGAGACTTGTGTATGCGTAACGAAATATAAATAAACATATATTTACCAACAAATTCATGAGGAGTATCGGCATGAGAAATAAAAATAAAATATAAAGAGGTGTTGACAAAGGATTAGCTATGAATCCCTCTTTGTGCTCGCGTCCATAGAATAAATCTCCGTAATCCAACTCGCCAACAGACATTACGCAGACTTTCACTAAACTCCTCCAAAATGTACTGAATTCGTCCTGTGAAAAGACAGACATAATTTTGTTAATTCAGAGCCCTCTGAAAGTGGCATTCAATAGTATAAGCTTCCAATTCGTAGATGTATACATAAAAATGCTGTCTATCGCGAGTAAAATATACACCCTCTATTAAACTGGATGGTAACATACAATGGCGTTTTTAGAAGAGACGGTCCCTATTTAAAATCGTTGTTAATCATACACACATATCTATAATCATGCGGCGATTGCGTTATTGTAAAGGTGTCACAACCAAAACCAAAAAATACTGCTTCCGTCCCTGAGACATTGGACGATTTGTGCACCCTTTTCGTACAAACATGAATTCAAAAACATATCGGAATGTTCGTCGTTATGAGTGAATTGAGTTGTGTGAGGACGATTGACCTCTGTGGTTCTCGTTTTAGAGTTGTAGAACAAACACACTTACCATATCAAAATACATCATATGCAATGCAAACGAGAAAGCGATAACGAACATCAGGAAGAGTATAACGATCTGTTGCACAAAGAAAACTCGAATGAACTACTAAAACAATATTCATGAAGTTGTTAAAACCGTGAACATTTGCAGTGTTGATGTTTATATACTGTTTTCAAATTTTATTGAATTAAGTTATAAATGATATTTCTCGAGATAATATGCAATAGTTACCTTTACAAACGACTTGAGGACTTTAAAAAACATGACGACGTATACACCGAACATGCTGATTCTGGTAATTTTGATGAAGAAGGACAGACATTTTCATTATATGTGGAGTTTTGTTGAAAGGGGACAGTGCAACGAAGTTCAACAACAAACACAAATAAAATCACCATATGAATGGTGCTGGTATATCTTCCATTGTAAAATATTGTCAACTCACCGCCTGAAATACAGAATTAAATCTAGCCAAGCACAAAATATAGCAAAGGATCCACTTTTCCATTGGCCGACACACGGACTATGACCCGGTGGGAATATGAAATATAGTGCAGTGCTGTACATGGCCCAATCCACCCAGTTCGATATCTCCATGAAATAATTATACCCCTAAAATGGAAAACACAAATAATTTGTGTCATTACATGTTTGCATTTTTTTTTATTTATCTTCCAAAAACAATGACATTAAAGCGGGAGGGTCGCCACCTGCGCACGCGCGGGAATTGAGTCACAAGCGAGGATAACAACACACGCTAAAACGCAAAGGCTCATTTGTAGACGCTTGTTCGCTATGGCCATCTGACGCATGCGCAGGTGACGACTCCCCGCTTTAAATGCGATTAGAAATGCATACTCACCGTCTGGATAAGTTCAAAGAACTCCCGTATGACGTTTATCACAACGTACACTGCAATATATAGTTGTAATACGAAAGTGACATCGAATACATAGTTGCCTGTCAGAATTATATTGCCATCCTGAAAAAAATATACAGACACAGTCAGCTGGAAAATAATAGTTGAAGATGCAACCAGTTTATAATCTATGTGTGGCCTTTAAACCATCCAAACAATAATAATAATGATACTGTGTCACGTAAAGTTGAACTAGTCAGGATGATTACGCTATTAAGTAAGATAATTGTGAAAATATGACTTGGAATGATAGTGAATGTTATGCAGTAATACTATACCTGGTCGTAATAAACACTTGTATTGCTGCCAACTGGTAATGGACATCCATACTCGTCAAGCCTCGCCGTGAATATATTAGGCACAACAAAACACAACGCAGTCAGTGCGGACAGGAAGGACAGATATATAATAAAGTCCAGGAAAAACAATCCACGACCAAACTTTTGCCTACAACATTGATTATTCATAATTACAAAGCAACCATTGGAATTGTGGCTTTACCTAAACAAGGGCGTGGACTTGAAATACCCAATCTGAATAAGTTTGTGGACGACGCTTGGGGTAACTGATCTGAATATGTTTGTGGATAACACTTGGAATACCTGATCTGAATATGTTTGTGGGTGACACTTGGGGTACCTGATCTGAATATGTTTGTGGGTGACACTTGGGGTACCTGATCTGAATATGTTTATGGATGACACTTGGAATACCCAATCTGAATAAGTGTGTGGACGACACTTGGAATACCCAATCTGAATAAGTTTGTGGACGACACTTGGAATACCCAATCTGAATAAGTTTGTGGACGACACTTGGGGTACCTGAGCTGAATAAGTTTGTGGACGACACTTGGAATACCCAATCTGAATAAGTTTGTGGACGACACTTGGGGTACCTGAGCTGAATAAGTTTGTGGACGACACTTGGAATACCCAATCTGAATAAGTTTGTGGACGACGCTTGGGGTAACTGATCTGAATATGTTTGTGGGTGACACTTGGGGTACCTGATCTGAATATGTTTATGGATGACACATGGAATACCCAATCTGAATAAGTGTGTGGACGACACTTGGAATACCCAATCTGAATAAGTTTGTGGACGACACTTGGAATACCCAATCTGAATAAGTTTGTGGACGACACTTGGGGTACCTGAGCTGAATAAGTTTGTGGACGACACTTGGAATACCCAATCTGAATAAGTTTGTGAACGACACTTGGGGTA